ATAGTTTCTGAATTAGTAGTCCATTGAGAAGCATGATTAGTGAGGGGCAAAAAAAACTCCATACAAAAAGTTAAAAATGCTTGGATTAATTTTACAGGAGAAAAAACCCTCAATAAAAATAATGACAGAAAAAAGCGAGCAGGACTGGCCTGTAGGTGGCGGTATATAACGGGTTGTAGTCGGACATCGTCAGGGTAGCAATAAATGTCAGCCTGGAGGGGTACGTATGCGGGTCAGACAGGACTGGCCTGCATGTGGTATTGTATACGGGATTCACAATTGACATCGTCTGGGCCGGATTGATACGCCGCATGAGACTATTCGCGTCAAAGAGGCCAGACGAGAGGAACCCAGATGCGATCGGCCACAGCACGCTTCGAGCTCAGCCGAGCAGTGGGGAAGGGAGGTACGACCGAACTACTAGTAGAGGACGAATACTGAGGGTTCCGCCGTGAGCGTCGACAGACCGCATGAGGTCGGAATGCGGGAGATGACATCAAAAACCGCGAAAATTGTCGCTATGGGGGAGGAGTGATAGCAGTGGATTTGGAAACCAATTCAAAACAGGGGTTTCTAATGATATAATTAAGAGTTACCACTTAATCTACCACTAAACCCCAGGAGGACCCTTCTCGAAGTCAAGAATCTGAGTGTTCGGGAACGAGACCGTTAAAAACGTCTTTATGCCTTCCGGTGTAAGACGTTTGCGTAATTTCGACTTGAATACCAGTAATTTAGGCGATAATCTAATTTCAGGCGGAAGATTATTCCAAAGGAAGGCATATTTGGAAGCAAAGAAGAGGGAGCGCTTAGATTTGGTGCAAAGATGCGGTGGCGGAATCACCATGGAGGAGTTGCGCGTGACATAAGACCGATCTCTCGGAGTGAGAGTGTCAATGAGCGGAAGAATGAAGCTAGAGTTGATGCGAAAAAGGAAGCAAAGGCCATCTTCGAGTCTTCTAACCCACAAAAACTTAATGTTCGCCAGCTGACATCTCTGAGTATAAGAAATACCGGAGGAAGCTTGAGAGAACAGTTTCCGGGTGAAAACCCTCTGAACATTTTCGATTTTATTACGGTCCTGGCGTTCATTAAGCCGAAGAAAGTACAACAGTTTTCGAGGACTGGAAGAACAAACATTTGATAAAGTCTTAGCTTCATTTCCGGAAGGAAAAAATTATGCAATATGAATCCACATATCTGCGCGGCTTTGGCAGACATTCTATCTGAAGACGAAGACAGGCTCTCCGGAAGAGGTTTATTTACGTGCTGACGTTTCAAAGAGCTGGGTCGGCTCTTCATTGTCAAAGCGTATAATGCACTTAATCGATCAGAAATTTAATTTAAAGTGGCAGTTGTGTTGGCCGGCCTCATGCTGATCGATTTTTCCCTCTTCTCGCTGCCTCGGCCTCTCGGGAGATGGTTGACGGGCGTTTTGCCTGTGTGCTTTGTGAGTCACCACTCCGTTGAGGGGAGCTGATTGGACTTTAGTCGGGCGGTCGGTCTGGCGGTTCTTCTTCTTCCTCACCGAGTAAACTCAGCGTCGGGCTATCTCCGTGCGGCTTTCTTAAGTCCGGTGTGGTTGTTTGGTCCTGAGCTCTACGATTGTG